TATAATATCTAAAGTTTCAAGATATTCTCAGTAAAAAATAATAAAAAAATTAGCTACATACATGAATTTAAACGAACCGAATTTTTTATATATAATATTATATTGTATGTTAATTGCATTGTAATGTTAATTATTCATATGTAATATATATATATTGTATGTTAATTATTTAGAACATCTATATTACAATTTGGTTTTGATCTTTGGTATTGTTTTCAAAATAACATTTTGTCATCAGTGAATTTTCAAAAATATCTGGTAAAATAATATATCTCACAAAATGGACGACGCTCTGTGGTAAAATATTTTGGTGCAGAAAAGCTTTATATAGTCATGTTGTGTATAATACAATAATAATATATAATAATAATAACGACCATTCCAATCTTGTGAATATTGTTGTTTTTTTTTTTTTCTTTTATAGATCATAAATATATTAAATCTAGAATTAAAGACAAAGTCGCCACATTAGGAAACCAAAAAGAGTGGTACCTTGACTGTATAACATTGCAGTCTGATTGGATACATGCCCAATACGATAGTGACGTCACGACGAATTCCACACCGCAGTGATTACTCCGTGCTACAGCGTAATGACGGCATTTAGAGGAACTAATTCCTATAATAACGTACCATTAAACAAATAGTAATGATCGTGAGGTGACCACAAGTATTCACCTTGTCGCGAGAGCGAGAAAATTACTTTTTAACGAGAATAATAAACAAAAATAAGCAGTCAAACTGGTGGGAATTATAATAAACTGTATTCCTTTTCTAATGTTTACATAAACTTGATAAACTCATTCAAAATACTAGATAAAATTTTGAGGTTATTGCTGGAAAGATCGACTTATTTCAGATTTTCGTTGTCCGTGTCGAATTGTATAACCTAACGCAAATACTATAAACTATGTGTATATCCACGCAGGAAAGCAGAGTTTTCACGTGACAAATTGGTATTATACAATCGCTACTTTGTGCACCTCCAATAGGTAACGTTACCTTACGCTCCACCAATTTCCGCGTTTAGGGCAAATAGTCGCACTGTTCTTAGAGATAGGACGTCACATATACACATAGAAACAAAAGTTTTATTTTTATTTTTTTAGTTTTATTTATTAATTATGAATCACCTGAAACAGGCAAAATAAGCGAACATCATATAATTAATAAATGTTTTTCATCTTAATTTGACCGTTGCGATTTGTGGTGACAGGCTGTTACAACAGAAAGGCATTATCGTGACAATTGGTATTGCACTTAAGACGTCTTTTCTAGAAAATTATTTGTTATTATATGTTTTTCTTTCCAAGTGCAATTTGCGGATTTTCCAACGCAACTATAATTATAAAGAAATTTAATTTCAAGTTTTCCAACTGTTAATTCTAGTCGCGAAAGCCCTACAGTAATTACGTGAGAGAATGAGGTAAACTGAATTGTCCAATTTTGACGCATTTTTGTCCAATTTGAAGTAATCCATAATATTCAACAGTCTTAAATTCTGTGTGATGCGCGTAATCAGTAATATCGGCCATTTTGAACAATAATTTTAGAATAATCTTGATTCACTACACCGACAATGATTTATCCAGAATTACTTCTTTAAGTCAAGATCTTTGAAATATGTTTGATACAGATTATAAACTATATTGAATTTAAAATTTAGAAAATGACTTCAAATAACAACGTGCTCTCAAGTCTGATTTTAACAAATACCTACACGCGTGCATACCAAATCGCTGTTTCAACAGCAGTCAGAATCGCCATGGACGCTTCGCTATATGAAGATATATTTCCGCCTGTTCTTACCATCACCATTGATAGTTGTCATTTTGGCAGTAATAAAAAATAAACAAAATCTTACAATAAATTTACGGATAGCTGGTAACCTTGATTTATTTCAACTACATTTACTGAAAAAATAAAACTATTTCAACATAAAAATATAGATATATAGATAGATAATATACCAGAAGGCTCCCGAGCATATACCGTATGTATTTTTATTTTGCAGGCCTTACTCTATCTGCTTCTCAATCTTGAAATTAATGCTAACCTGTTCATTTTGAACAATTAAATTGCGAAATTTAACATAAATCGCACAACGTATGATAGGATTTACGATTCTGCGCTCGTAAAATATTACGACCAAAATGGCTTCCTTTCAACTAGCTTTTGGGGAGAAACGCTCGCGTTTATATAATTTTATATTAGTTGAATAATGACTTGAAAGAGTAATATCGAAATTTGCAATGAACAAGCTTGATAAGCTGGTAGAATTAAACTGCAAGTTAAGTGAATCCAAACAAATATTATAGAATAAAGTATCGTCAATTCTTCCAGTATTAAGGATTTAATATTTACTATTTTCTTTAAAATGTTCGTTTTTAAATTTTGGAAAATCATTTTGGTATTCGTCGATTTGACGGTCCTTGATTTCATAAATTTTTCGTCGAAAAATGAAATGCCCGTGATCACGGCGGTATTGAGTTTCGTTTCACGACTCTCTCGTGATGATGGGATCTCTGCAAAAACTGTGACAAACGCGTGGCAAAAAACCACAGTCATTCAATAGTCCTCCTGCAATTATTTCAATATCACTCCCGTTTTAACGAATACGCACGCATACGGATCCACCTGCGCAAAGGCATATGGCAAGGAAAGGTAGTTAGTTTCACGCAACCTCAACTGTTAGTGTATTATAGGTGTCATTTGATTTAAGTCTAATTTTTAACTTTGTTTTTATTTTGTGCGTATGCAACAGTTATTTCATTAATAGTACATGAGTTTTCTCGTTTGTTCGTCAGCAATTGACACTGCGTCCTGGTATAAATGGCCTTCAGCCCACGGCGTATGTATGTGTTTCAGTCTGTTAATTTGAATTTCTCATCTTTCATTGAAATGTGAATCGAATTATACTACAGTGAGAAGTAATTTGTTTGAAATCAGTATGTCGACACTATGAATTCTCAGAAATGGACGAAGCCCATTTTTCAAAGTTTATGTGATAAAAGTCAAAAGGGAAGCCGCCATAATCGGTAATTATTCTTCTTGTCGGACAGGCAGTGCATGTTTCCTATCTTGGCTGCTGACGAGAAATGTTTTACGACTTCCATTTTGTACCGTCGCATAATAGATAATTAAAAGATAAAAAAAGCCGACAAATGTAACCATTGTTAAAACAGCTATTAGCAGACATCAAATGCGGAACTACGACTACTCACTTAGCAAACATAAATAATATTATCCAGGCTGCTTTTGAATGAAGGCATTAGTGAAACATACTTTGTATTTGCACCAAGTCATATTGTTTGCTTGAAGGAGCAAAGTATTACAAATATTATTTATCATTTAAAATTATCTGCTGACTACCAAAGTTATATTATACATGGGTCGCGTCAGTCTGTATGTTCAATCAATACCAATTGAAATATACATTATCTTTCAAATAGCTATGGTCTCTACAGAACTGTTCAATTCAAAAAATCAGTGATGGGCGACGAAGTAATTGTGACAAGCACACAACACCTTTAATTAAATCAAAAGAGCAAAACTCAATTATATTAACACTAAAGCCAAAACAAATAATTTCCCACAATTTTCCCAACACCATGTCCTGAACGAAGCTTGAGCTATGGAACGGCTACCGTACCTGTGGGTCTGGTGTAGTTCAGCATAAGCTTTCTCTGAATAAATTCCATAATATTATAATACTCAGCGAAATGAAATGTAGGAATTATGACCGATAAAGATACGATCGCGTGTTCTGTTTCACTCGCCAGTCAACTGCAGTATATTTTTACTGCTGATGACTTTTGCCAACAGAAGCTGTATGAGCAACCACATCAAAAATACCGCCTCTGTCATTACATGACGCACCGTAATGGATAATGGGCTACAAAACCTAGAAATACTGTGTGTTTTCCGTGATGCGTTTTATTTGATATGCCACTTCGATTATACGATATAATTGTGTCTGTTTAACGTGTGGGCAAAAATATTATTCTGGTTAAGTGGTGAAAACACGTGAGGTATTTGGGGAAATATCCCAAATATAAATTAGATAAAAACATGTCAGTTGTCGGAGGCTGTTGACTCAATATAAAAGAATAAATTTTATGATGTAATGACCAAAATTTCGCCCTAATTGTTTGTGTCTGTGTCGTCTGTACTAGCCCCAAACCACCACATTTCCCATGCAGATGTAATGCGTAAGGGGAGATGAGAAAAAGCAGAAAACCTTGTCTCGCGTTCTTATAAAGATAATAGCAAGATCTACATAACAAATAGTAAATGCCGCAATACAAAATATCGAATCCTTTTTAAATGATGAGTTTCGGACTCTGACAAGACTTGTGTTATAGAGCGTCGAGCGTCATAGTATCGGAGTGTGGCAGCCATCGTTAAGTTTAATGTTTGAGAGATAAACGTTGTTGTGATGTTATCAGCCGTATTTAGACACTGAATAACTTTACATTGCTCTTCCTATTTTCCGAAGGTAAACATTTTACAGTGGGTCAGAATCACGTATTCCATTTTCTAAATTATAATCTAGTATAAAGCATAGAAATGCCAAGTTTGCCTCGCCCAATTTACACTGATAAAATTCGACACTCTCCTCACTTAGGACATTAACGTATCTTATCACCATATCACAAGATAAACGAATTAAAATTCTTGATACGAAATCGATTTTTTAGTTAATTAAATCATTTGAAAGCTTTTAGGAAACATTATCACAGTTTCGACTAGTGAGGTGTTCCTTATCGCAATGCCTCTGAAAATTTCCTAAATGCCTCGTTGTAATTGTCTGGTATGAAAACATGCTGTTTGAAATTTTGATTTATTCCAATATGCTATTTTGTAATGAAGTATATTCAAACGATAAGAACATCTTATTTGTGGACGTTTATTATTCGATATTCGCTAGTATGAATATCATTGTTACATCACAAAACAATATGATATTATATTAAATTTTTCCAAATATCATTAGAAATTGATGTCATGTAAAGTTGCAAGAGTTGCAAGATGCCCGGCATCTTGAAAGATGTTCCGGGGTATTTTTATCCTGCTTGTTTGCTCATTATATTTACAATTGCTTCCTATTTTGGATACAGACATGCTGAAACTCTTGAAGATCCAAATGCAAAAGGTATACTGTACAAGGTTTAGTATAGTACACTTTGTTTACTTTTAGCTTGCAGAGCATATACTTGACGCATTGAGCTGAGTTTTGAAGTAATTGAACACGTAATTTGTTTCTGCACTAACTCCGGGTATCTTTTCAGGAATAGCAATCGGCGTCATCGTTGGTACTTTTGTAGTTACCTCGATAATCTACGTAACTTGTAGAAAATTATACCAGAGTGGAAGGCTTGAACCTCAACGTGGAGTTGCAGCAAATGTAAGATCATTGGGTGCGAAATCCATGAATCGATTGAGAAGACATAGTTCCCTCGATGTAAGTTAATTTGCTTCAAGGAGATCACTAATTCCGATTCCGAACCTTTCAACTATGATGGGCTCCGACTCAATATTGACAACAATTTTGATTATTACTCCGGGTCAGAAAACGCGACTCTTACCCAATATTTCGACTAAAAATTTGTCGTTTAAAGCTCCGACTCCTCGAGATATTTCGAAAGCAATATCCCGCAAAATAGCGCATCAAGCTCCGACCAGCAACTTTGGCTCATGTGTATTGAATCTCACAATATCCACGCCAAACTGACATTCCTACTTTATTGAATGTTTCACTCATTTTTGCAAACGAACCTTCGATTTGGGCGGCTCGGTTGAAATGTTTAATTAATATTAGCGTAGCGGTTTCACCGTATGCTTACGGCGATACCTCTTGCGCTGCTTATCTTATTCAAAGATAGCTATATTCTGACATGGGAAATGAAGTTATTGTTGCTTCAAATATCAATTATTGAAACAGAAAAGGAATATTATTGATTTTTATTTTAAATTTGCATTATTCTTTCTTTCCAGATCGTGCCCTTGCCGGGATACACGGAAGCTGATTTTCGCCGCACCGTGGCTACGAATTGAAGAAAAATATCATGCACTTCCATGAATTATCATGACATTGTTATAACACTTTATAATGAATAAAGTATATTATTTTCGATACGTATGAATGAGCGATCGGACGCATTAGATATGTTACTCGTTATCATATCGCGGTGATCTCTTCTAGGATATTACTTTTCCAAAGTATCTCTGTTTGCTTGTTCATAATTCTTTGATCGTCAGAAAAGTATGAAATATGTAGGCCTAACTCGAACTTGGTTCGGTGAATTTTAAAGAGTCTGTCGAAAAGTAAGTCTCGGAAAAATAATGTTGTTTGGCTTTCAAGCGCATATTATAATTCTATTCATCTATGCACCCTGTTAAATTCACTTATTGCGTCACAGATCCAAACTTGGAGCGATGTTTTGAATTTGTACTGAGAAATAGAATAGATAGGAATGTTAGATATAGGTAGTTCAAATAGGTAATAGAAATTAGGGTAGGTTAGCGTATTAAGGCCATTGTTTGTATTATTGTTAACGACGTTTAAATTCGGCATGATTTTTTTGGATTCATCGGATGAATTTCAAACTAAGCCATGCTGCGTTTTCCTGCGTTCGTGTTTCGTTATAATTTTTTTGGCGACTGCACTTCTAGGGATATCTGCCGGGGGCCAATGGATAGTTAAAGGTGTCGGGCCTCGTTACGGTAAGAATATTAATCATGAATCTTTACAACCTCCGAATGAGTACAATATGGGATATAAACATACCCATTCATTAGATATAGTGTTTGGCGACAGAAAGCATAACTCAGCCAATATACAATTTCGCCTAGCTATTGAATAAACTAAGTTATTGGACACGAAATGGACTTATGGATCGATCGTTTTGCTAATATGTTGTTATTGTGGCGTATTGATTCAATTACTACTAGAGCTGGGCATTTTTTTGAATACCTGATGTCTCAGAATCAAATCGAATATTTTTTCAAATCGAATCAAAGCTCTAATACTTGGAAGATGAAAAATTGTATGCAACTTTCTTATTGTATTATAGGTTTCGTTTATAGGTCGTGTCCATATATTTGAGCATTACTTTCTTGTCGAAATCATATTTGTAGGGTATACAAATCACAAACAAACCCGATACATAGAGACTGGTGCTGATGTGGTTTTTAAACGTTTCCTTTTTTTACGCACATGCTGTAGTCATTGCGTTATCCTCACGCTGTACCGACGCTGATACGATGATTTGAAATTATCACAGTTCACTATTCAACCCATTTTAACGGCGCTAATATACAATTTAAAGGGAACGCAATTGTGCAATCAATGTAATTCAAAAAATGGGTTCATTACTGGTGTCTCTTAGCGATGGAAAACAAATTGGTCATTGCTTGCTGTATTTGCTGGTAGAGAAGAGTAAATACGCTTGATACAAGTTCGTACATAGAAAATAGACATTCCATGCGAAATGAAACAGAGCGTAATGCACATTGTCCATGACGCGTTTGTGCGTGTAGCATAGTATGTAATTACCGTTTCCCGAAACAGGGGGACTTGTCAGTACAAATAAAACTTGTCGCTTTTGTATGTATATTTTATTAATTTTAGTTTACTTTTACGAGCCTATTACTGTATTTGCAAATATTTTTAGGTTTCATTGCTTGTGCTGCTTTTGTGATCGGTGCCGTGATTGTGATCTTTTGCATTTTGCGGGCGTGTTCTGCATGTGACAGCAGGTGAAGACCAAATCTGATCTCCTTATGATATTTTATTAATTAGTACTTTAATCAGTAAGCATATTTTATACATAGCATTTAGTGATCAACCTTATTCGATGGTTCACTTATTATTCGATTACCAAAACAATGAATCTGGTTTGTAAATTAGCCAATATAAATACCAAAGCATACAAACAGACCTGTAATGAATAAGTGCTGGTGCTGAATATTAGACGGCGTTTCCAGGCATTCTGTCTAAACAAATTTCAGCATTGCCATACTTGACATAATATTTTTATTGTAAAATGGGTACTCCCGAAGTATGTGAACCAGGATTGCGGACACCGGAACGTAGTATGTGTTCCAGGTTAGGGTTAGGCCATAATTTAAGGTACAAACACTACAGGAGTCACTTGGCTATAGTATTCGAACTCGTAATAGAACTGAAATAAGGAAAATTGGAATAAAATTATGGCCTAACCTGGTACACATACCACATTCCGATGTCCGCCATCTTGGTTCACATACCTCGGGAGTACCGTAAAATGTCAGTGTCACCACTAAACTTATTTCTCTTTAGTGAATTTTCCATGTTGACAACCCGATATCTCCAACTTGCGACGATTGGTTACGCTCAGCACAATAGCCACCGGGTCATTGTGCAAACTAATCAATTGTCTTATTTTTTCTAGTCCAACCGAAGATGGAGACGATATAAGCAATGCAACAAGTTTTGAAATATTGCAAGACGAAGCACCAGTAGAAGAAATTAATTCTTACGACATTTCACCGCAACAAGCGCGTCAATTAATATCCGAATTCTGTCAACACATGTCGCCCGGAAGGTGAAACCAAACATATTGCTTGCTTAATTATTATCCGCTTTCAGTCCATCCTAACTTTGCTACGCTTAATATAGGGTAGCCTACGGAAGACCTACACTGCACCAATTTTTCAAACTTCTAATTACGTTTAGTATATAAATTCAAAAAATATAATCAGAAAAAATGCGATCTTAATACAATTCGTTCATAGACTCCAAAACGCTTAAACTACGCATTTGTCATCTATCCAAAAGTTAATTTGTCCGCGTATATTATAGTTTTATGGTGGCATTGGCATATTTATAGAGTGTTTTTAGATTTCTTCCTTTAACTATTAAACTGAAATGCATTTTATACAATATCCGTTGTCACTCTACTTGCAAAAAAGATATCCATATTTTGACACCCATGTCTGGTCCCCGTTCATTTTGTTTACTAACTAGTTCGCAATAAAGCGGAAAAAAATTCAACACTGGTATACTTAAACCTTAGCTGTGCAATTCAGGCCAATCACACTCTTTCCGCCGGTGGAACATGAAGTGAGTCAAATGATCGATGGTTTTACCAAACTGGTACAAGACTTATATTCGAGAATAAATCGTAATAGTTTAAAGCAGGGGTGTGCAATGTGCGGCCCGTGGGCCAAATGCGGCTCGCAAGGGAGAATTGTGCGGCCCGCGGAGAAGTGCCCATTTTGAATGGTGTGCGGCCATCTAAACTAGTTTTTCATTTAGTTTGATCTGGTTCCCTTCGCGTTATATTCGAGTCCAATTTATTATCTATGTCTATGACGTTACAACAACCTAACAGCGAGGGGAACAACACGATTCACAAAGCTGTCACTTGCTGAGCAGCGAACAATTTAAAAAAAGTGCAGAGCAGACTTAATGAATTTGCAAGAACGGGCAATTGAAGATTAGGCAATCATAGACAGCAGTTTGAAATAATTTATTATTAAAAGACACAAAAGCTAATCAGTTTTGGTTCCAGCAAATCAGTTGATTTTGTCGAAATCTAATCTAAAATAAGATTTGACAGCAAATTATTTGAAATGAAATGAATCTTGGCGCATTTTACCGAAAACACCAAGATAACTTTCCACATTTGAAAAAAGTCATGTGTTCAAATATGCCACTTTTCAGTTACATGTTCATTTCTAAAATGGGCGTCGAATCGAATTGCTAGCATTTCCATAAAGCAAATTTGGATGAAAAAGCATCAAATTTCTCACTGAAATTTCTCTCGTTTAAATTGGATGTGACAATATATTTGAATTACAATTTCAAATAAATTTATGCGTTCTACCTCATCACTTCTAAAAAAAACACTAATGATGACACGAGATCAATAAGAAAAAGAGACACTATATTGTGCCTGCAACTAATAGAAAACCTATGTTAAATAGAGGTGCGGCCCGCGGTTTTACCCAGTTATTGATATTTGACCCGCCTGCGGAAAAGGTTGCACACCCCTGTTTTAAAGCACTAGCAAATGTTTAAAAAACGGATGTACAGTACTCTAGTAATGAAAACCCTAAAATTTCTTCAATAGGCTACTTCTTCGAAATTAAAAAACACTTATTTAGCACTTGAACTTCTGTTTGTATATGATGGTACTCAAAAGTTTCACACATGTAGGACATTTTGCACAAAAGTTATGTTTTCTTTGGGATGTGTTCCAAATGACCTGAGTTTTATTTCACCATGTATAGCACACACCACCCATACTTAATACATTAACCCCGTCTGAAGAACTCACGTGGACGTTCGCGCAATCATGAATTACGGCAGTTAATTGTTGAAATTTCTTTTTCATAAATATTGGATTACTCATAACCTACCTTGATTAGTTCATGTCATGATTTATACAGATGGCACGAACATTCGCTGGAACAAGGATTTGTCGTTAATCTCGAAGATCGACCTCCATCATATGACAAGTTATCACTCATATCGGACCAAGAAGAAGCTCTTCGACCTAAGATAGCTTCAAGTCAATGCAGTGATATTTCACCACCAGACTACCATCAAATTTCTGATTAAGTGAATAATTATATTAACCAATAGCATTACATTGTTCGACAACTGATAGTTTTAGGAAGAGAGGGATTCAAAATTTTAAAAACATGTCCTCTTTAAACCTAATTTAAAAAACACTGCAGAACCTATAGATCCACAACTGGTATGTTTGCAATAGAAGAAGACAATAAAGTTATTAACAAGGTTCTAGAAAAGCTTGAACTATTCTGTGTTGGCCAAATAAATGAAAGATAAGTTTTTAATAATAGAGAGCAATTGCCTGGTGAATATTTTGCCACATTTTTGTCAAGTCTGAGATCTTTGTCAAAAACCTGTAATTTCGGAGCATTGGAAGATAGTCTCATACGAGACCAAATAATTGATGGAGTACCTGATAATGATCTTAGAGTTAGACAAAGATTGTTACAAAAACGAGATTTAACTCTTGCAAAGTGTATTGATCGCTGTTGAGCTCACAAATCTACGATTAGGCCGCGAGCCGAGGCCATTTATCTTTCAGTTTCGTAGCGCACATAAGGTAACTACCTGAAAATGATTTTAAAATGTTCCTTAGAAATTTAGTAACAAATATTGCCTTGTTCCCACTTCCAAAAGTTGCACGTTTTACAGAAAAGACGCTTTTACTACAATAAATATGTGTTACCATCTGTCCTATTTTCTCTGCTTTTCCGGTATCATGGGCCAATGAACGCAGACTTCTGCAAGACGTAACAGTCAAGTTAGTCAGCTGTAGGTGGATCCCCAGTGGTCGGATGAATATCAGATGTACTAGTACTACAACTGCTCGCTTTTGCGTTGAGTAGCCTTTCCATAGTTTTTTTCAGTTACCGGTAATATTAGTTCAGTTATTCTAAGGAGGTGTTGAAAAGTATAGGTAAGATATCAAACACTTGCATATCCTTAACATAAATAGCAATTTTAGTTGAGCACTAGCTCATAAGACGTTGTTAAATAGGTGCGGTGCGGTAACTCCAAGGAAGGCTAGACCTAGAATAATATGTCTCAAACAACGATATTTTCTGGCTTGCATGAAATGTTTATGATTAATTTAATGACTCTTCTTGACTATTCAGCAGACTTATACTACTATATACAGGCCACAGCATATTTGGAAATAGAAATGAATGGCTATTTCTGTAATGCACGGTTGTGTGAAGGGGAGGAAATCAATTTTACTAATGTCGGTTGGTCTAAATCTAAATTCATAGAGTCGACAAGAACCTGGGAAGCAATGATAAGTTATGCCGGAGTGGAAAGAAAGGTAGCATTGGAAACGATTGAGAGGTTAGAAATCAAGTTGTAGACAAACAGTTGATGTTTTAAAATATAGTCTATAGTCCATACTCATACTGTCATAGGACATTTCAGACTGTGATATATCAAAATTTAGTGTAGATATAGTCTAGTACGGTACCGGTAATGGTATGCAAACACTGCTGGACTGTAGTACATGCAATGAGCATATATACGCTCATTTAGTACATCAGATAAAATGCATTATGATTATGTATTCAAGGTATTAGTTAGTATTTAGGGGTATTTTTAAACTCATGCTGCTCCAAATATTATTTTCTTCCTCATTTTAGATACTGTACTACAAAAGAAAACGGCACTGTTCCACCAATCCGACCTAACGCAGGCTCTGATCCCTGCTGCTATCAGTGCTATAAAATGGATTTAACAAGAAGTCTTGAAGCTTAAAGGTATATGAGAATCATAATAGTTGCAAACAGCTTAGATGGGCTATTCATATTGAAATACTTTAGCACTTTTCTGCAATTGAAACTGCCCATCAAATTCATGTTGGAGACTTCATTGAGATTTTCAATTCATTTTTTTCCCTCGACTATGAAGATCTTTTGAAGTTAACGAGGCATTAATAAATAAAGCTGAGGAATTTAAAGAGGATATGAAGAATGTAAATGATACCAGGGCACGTCTATTTAACACTGTCAAACATAAGGATTATACTCTCCACCCAACAATGATTCACTGAAGAAGCATGTGGCCCTCAAATCAGTTCTTGAGTTGGCAAACTGCAAGTGTAAGAAAAATAGTCAAAATAATTTATGAAAGTGTGCCAAAATCAACTTAAATTGCACAGATTTTTGTTTTTGTATTGACTGCAAAAATCACAGTACACTTATAGAGGAAAAGTCGATTTTTGAGATAGTGGATTTCGAAAACAATTCAGAAGAAAGTGAATTAGATATTACTGTTGATTTAATAAGTATCATTTATTTGTTTTGTTTTTCGGACATTTGTTAGTGTCGTAGTCCTGTTTCTAGAAGTATTATTGCCTTTGTTCAAATACATAACCACATAAACTAAAAAAAGATTAATTGTAAATTGTAATATTTCTGTTCACTATGTTATGTACATTATGTTAATTTTCTTGACTTTTGCGGTAAATTTCTAAGTGAGAAATAACTGATTTATTTGTGTTTTCGTGCTCACGATGTTAATTTGTGACTTCATTGCTTAAAAATAAATACGTTTGATAGCTTCTATAAAATGGATGTAGCTTTTTATGCTGTTCTTGTTGTAAACTGCTTGTGGTTATTACATAAAATTTATTTATGTGAATCAGCGTTGTTGGTGTCGCTGCTTTCGAGGTCACTCCCGATTCCTGTCACACAATTAAAGTATTTTTTGTTGTTGGTTACATGTATGCCATATTTTTCGTAATCTACCTAATAAATTATGATTGACTGAGGAAGTCCGATTTTGGTCAGGCAAAACATCACAGGAATACATTTGTGTTAGTGTGCTGTAGGGCTCTCGAATTGCATAGTTCTTATGTATGTGTTGTAAACTTATGGTTATTGAATTTCCGGGAACCTCTTATATTCAGCACTAGGATTGTGGAACAAGCTGTAATGCGTTCATTATGTTCGTTTTCACACAAAACTGAAGAATTTATTTAGTTACCAGATGTGCGCTACGAAACTCATTTTCTGGGCGTTTTCATGGCTTCGTCTCACGGCCCATATCCGTGGTAAGGATCTACAAGTGTTTAATAACTTACTTTTACATTTTTCAACAACGTCTTAGCATAACTTAACTAATAATAACTAAACAGGGCTATGGAAAGCCTGCCCGACTCAGCGCAAGGTCAAGCAGTAATAACTAATATTCATCCGCTCGCTAACAGCTGGTTTAATTCAATTGTTACGTCATGCTGAAGTCATTGTTCCTTGCCGAAAATGTAGAGAATATAGGACAGATCGTAGCACATATTTCTTGTAGTAAAAGCGTCTTTTCCGTAAAACGTGCAACTTTTGGAAGTGGGAACAAGGCAATATTTGTTACTAAATTTTTAAGAAACATTTTAAAATCATTTTCAGGTAGTTACCTGATGTGCGCTACGAAACTCACTTTCTAGGCGTTTTTCAGGGCCTCGGCTCGCGGCCTAGATGATTCGCTTAGAAACAATGAAGGAAGCGATAGAAAACGTCAACGCAACTGAAAGCAACCAAACTAAAAAGTCACATTTTACGCTTGGGACTGAAAGTACTAATGAGAGTAAACTCAATATTCATGAGTGTATATTGTATGGTAGAAATTATCGCCCAGCGTAGGGGAAAATTTGCACCAGATGCAATTTAAAAACCACTTTGATGTGAAATTTCTAAGAACTGAATATAATCTTGGGACCAATGGCCTAGATGCTGAATGTGTCGATACCTATTCTAAAAATGACATTGTTATGTGTGAAAAAATTAATACTAATAGCAGTACCAATTTATCTCATAAGAAGTTGTTTACTCAATTATTGTTGAATAATTTTAGTATCAATTAGGAAGGATCTCTCTACCGGTTTATAACCAGAAAAATGGTATATCCCATTTTCTAGATTTCATAAAAAAAAAACTCCAATACGCTTACTGAGTTTTGGGGCAATTCAAGAACTAAATTTAGTCAATTATGGAAATATCTTTTGTACCAGCTCTAATTCATGTAGATTTGACAAGATGTCGCTCAGCCAAATTTTTACCGAGTTTGTTGGAAAGGAAAATCGAAACTGGAAGTTGATAATACTGTTATTCCGGTTCCATTGTCACTTCAATGCAAAGGAATGAGACTGGTAAATGAGGGAGGGTATTATATCTCCTGTAGATTGTCATACGCCATAGATTTCAAATTTAATTGTAGTATCGAAGGAATTTGAAAAATAATCGTGTATGTCTTGCCTTGTCCCAAAGCCTTAATTTAAATAAGGCACTCGAACGAAACAAGCATTCAATGCCTACTATTGATGATGCAATGCCCCACTTGCATAAGGCAAAAAGTACTCACCATTGCCGACGTTAAAAATGAATTTTGGCATATTGAACTGGATGTTAGAAGTAGTTATTTAACAACATTTGTCTAAAGTTTGCTCTGAACGTTTCAAGTGGAGTTATGCCAGTTACCGATGATATCTTGATATATGGTGTGGGTGATAGCATAGGAGAGGCGACGTTCAATACCAAGATTTTTTTTTATGATTTTTTGAAAAGATGTAGAGTGAAGGGTATTAAGTTGAAAAAAGAGAAATTGCAACATATGAAAACTGAAGTTGTTTACTTGGGTAAGTTATCAGCAAAGACGGTTTAAAACCAGATTTGACAAAATTGGAAGATATCAGAGATATGCCTCATCCGACTGATAAACAAGAGGTAGGCTACGAAGAATTCTGGCTACAACAGATTTCTTGCAGCGATTTGGTCCAAAATTATCTCAAATCAATGCACATAACAGAGAACTTCTTAGAAAAGATAATGAGTTCATATGGGACGAAAAAGTACAATTGTATATTTCAATACAATTTAAGGCGATGAAATCGCCTATTTTGCAATATTATGATGAGAAAGCGGCTATTGATTTGCAATGCTGCAATTAAGCAACGAAACATCATGTGGAGGACATAAATAGGGAACATCGAATAGTAACAGTCAAACAGAATTGCGTAGAAAGAAGTGGATGGAATGCCGTCTTCTGGGGCCATTCAACCACGTGTGAGCCCATACAATACCCCGATCGTGCTTATCCCTAAGAAAAATTGTAGGTGGTGGTTCTGCATTGACAAAAAGCTATCTTTTCGTCGGAAAGGCTGGA